GCAAGGTCCTGCACGTGGGTCGGCACAATTTTTAATAAGATTTTTGTAAACTTAAGCAGCTTTACTGAAACCTGAACAGCCGAATTGTTTTGTCATTATCAGTATGGTAATTTGTTGCGTTACAGCTATACTTAGATGCCTGCTTGTGGCCTGCAAACAAATGAATGCTACTTTAATGTAAGTTGCTGTGTAACGCTGATAACATTACTAATGTGGATTTTTTGTTTGCTCACTCACTCCCCCTTCTATAGCTGGACTGGGAAGAAAATAGAAGAAACAGGAGTAAGAAAACTCATGGGTCAAAATAGAGACAGGAAAATCGCTTATCACGTACTGTCGTGGGCAAAACAGACTTAATTTAACTTAATTACTAATTATCATAAACTTCTAATTACTGATTCAGACATTGGAAAAGAAAGACAAACATTTATAGCACCTATCCTTCCCTTTCCCACGCTCAGCTTCACTCCAAGCACGGCTCTTCCCCCTACTATACTCTGGTTACACCCAGCCCCTTCAGAGGGGCAGTGAGCAGTGCAGGGGATTGAGATCAGGGCACAGCAATTTCTCCCTGCTGCTTTCTTCTTGCCCTTTTCTTCCTGTGCTCCAGTGTGCCCCCACCAAAGGCCTCAGTCCCTTCAGGAGCATGCCTCTTCCCCCACAAAATCCCTTCTGCTCTTCTGACTTCGGTGTTCCCTATGTTACTTCTCTTCTGTTCCCTTCTCTCTCTCCCTGGCGTTTTCTGCCCCTTATTAAATTAGAGGTGCCACCAGCCTCACTGAGGGGCTCGGCCATGTCCTGTGGAGAGTCTGTTGCAGAGATGTCTGAAACAAGCTCTGTCAGCTATTGGGCAGCACCTGGCCTCTTCTCTGAGAGATAATCCCTGCAGCCCCTTGCCACAGCTACCGACACCTTGACATTTACACCCAGTGCACTATGTCTTTTAGTTGAAATGATGTTTCCATTTGAGTGAGGGGCAAGGGGGTTGTTTTGTGGGGGCTTAGGGGGGTTTTGGCTTGCTTTGATCTCCAGTGCGCATAGGTCTCTAGCCCTCCAGAGCTCATGTGTCATGCTTTCCCACTGAAATTCACATTTGTGCAGATGGATGTCTGCAAAAAGGTTAGAGACTGGTGAATAGTTTAACCCTACTTTAGGTCATTGGGAATCACATTTGGGATATGATTACTCTTCCATGTTTAATGCTGTTGAGGGATACCCAGGCCATCTCTATAAACTAGTATAAAACACCATAAGCAGGAGAGCACAGTGCTCTGTTGAAGCTGACTTGCTAACAAGCAAACCTCAGTAATCTTACTCTTGTGTTGGGATAGGAAGTAGTCCATGCAGAATTCCAGGAAGAAACCTTGGAGTCTGAAGTTCATTCAAAATTGATTGGGTTTTTTGATGGATCTGCAATTTGTATCAGAAATAGTGTGGCCAGCAGGACTAGGGAAGTGATTGTCCCTTTGTACTCGGCACTGGTGAGGTCGCACCTCAAGTACTGTGTTCAGTTTTGGGCCCCTCACTACAAGAAGGACATTGAGATGTTGGAGCATGACCAAAGAAGAGCAACAAAGCTGGTGAAGGGTCTAGGGCATGTGTTTTAGGAGGGGTGGCTGAGGGAACTGGGATTGTTTCTCCTGTAGAAAAAGAGGCTGAAGGGAGACCTTATCGCTCTCTATGACTACCTGAAAGGAGGTTGTAGTGAGGTGGATGTTGGTCTCCTCCCAGGTAACAACTGATTGGACAAGAGGAAATGGCCTAAAGTTGCACCAGGGCAGGATTAGGATGTTAGGAAAAATTGCTTCATCAAAAGTGTTGTCAAGCACTGGACCAGGGTGCCCAGGGAAGTGGTTGAGTCACCATCCTTGGAGGTATTTAGATGTGGTGCTTAGAGACATGGTTTAGTGGTTGGCCTTGGCAGTGTTAGGTTAATGGTTGGACTTGATGATTTTAAAGATCTTTTCCAACCAAAACAATGTCATGATTCTGTGATAATGCTATACTGAAATTACTGGAGATACAGTTGTAAGACATGTAACATGTATTTCACTTGGGAGACCTGTCCATGGCAGATTGCCTCTGTCCATTTCATAGTTCAGACTAGTTGTACACAAGGTAAGCATATTTATGATCTATGGTGTTCATTTCTTTCCTGGTTCTGCAAGTTAGTTGTTTTACCCAGCAGTTTCCAAATACCTGCATCAGGAAGGTATGCGTAAATAATTGTGTAGCAGTATGTAGTGGATGATTCAATACTTAAACACTACAGAATTTTCTAACAGAGCAGTTTGTTTCCTTCCTGTGAAGGAAAAGACAGGTGGTAGATCTCTGAAAACAGGAGTGAGTTTCTTCCTGGAGGTCCAGAAATGGCCAGCAGTGAAACTCAGGCTTGCTGTCTCCTTTAGTGAGAGATGTTTGCAAGAAACCATTTCTTTTGCGTTAACAGATGTTTTTTCAAGCTGCAATCTCTTGCATCTCTAGTTGGCACAATTTACGCAGGCATGTACTAAGCTGGGCTGTGGCTCAAAATACATACCAGTCAACTCTTGATTGCTGTTGGGCTTAATTCTATTCAGTTCATACAATTTAAACAAGTTTTTATCAAGCTATTGCCATGCCTGTACTTCATTTAGTACTGTACTTAGGAAAGTGCTAGCACCGGTTGTGTTGTATTTGTATCATCAGGGAATGCTAGAAAGGTAAATGTTTCACTAATGTTAATATTGTTTACTTCTGAAAGGAATATTTACACATCAGAGAAGTTGAATGTTGAGCTTTCACTCAGAGGCAACATTGCTTTCCAGAAGCATGATACTAGTAATTTGAGTTCTTTCAAGCCAGACACAAACATTAATGTTCAGCAGCCCATTTGTGTCAGGCTTGCTTTTCTGCTGGCAGCCTGTATTGCGTAGTGCTTTCATCTGACAGTAGAATGTGCAAGGATGCTTTCTGAAGGAGAATAAAAACGTTACTATCACAAGTGTTTCAGAAGTAACATTTAGAAATGTTTTTGTCTTTTGTTGGTATTTTTTTTTCTACTTTTCTAAATTGGTATTTATTCACTCTTCATGTTGGATGATTCCTGTCATGTTGAAGTGTGATTATTGAGCTCTTTTTCACTTTGTTTAAAATGTGTTTAAACTTTGCATTCTAATTATTTTATGCTCTTTACAGGTACACTGAAAGAACTGCTGTATGGCCCAATGAAATATGGGATGTTCCTCTAGAAGAAATTCCTGAAACCTTGGAAGCTTTAAATCCTATAGACATGGAACCTGTAGATGAAAGAGATTTCAGATCACTTTCTAAGAAAGAGCTACAAGTGAGAATTAGTCATGTTGTGTCTCCTAGTAAAATTTTCATACAATGGCTGTCATCAGAAAGCATACTAAAAAGGTACTAAAATTCAAAGAACTTTTCTCAAATTAAGGCATTCTTACTGCAAACTGGTGAAGTATAGTTAGAAGAAACTCTGATTAGGGTTGCATTTGCCACTGGGTACTCTTTTGAATGGTATTGAGTTACCTTGCTTTCTTGAGGAAAGTATAGGAACAGAAGACAGATTGGCACTGTGTTGTGGTTTATTACATGTTTGTGATTCCAAATTAAGTACCTGCTCTAACTCCCATTTCACATCAGTTTTAATGTAGTAAGTATTGGGGCCTGATAAATACAAGACTATCCAGAAAGATCAAATCTTTCTGTTCTTTCTTTTCTCCTCCCCATTCCTTCATTAGAAATCTTGTTAGTAATACCGGTATCCTAAGTTACAGAAGTTCAAGCAAGTTGCTTCTTTCAACATGATTCTAATATGCTGTTAGAAAAGCTTGAAGGCAATTTCTAGACATAGTGTATCAACTTTCCTTCGGTAGATATTTAGGTAACATTTAGGTAATAGCGGCTACTGTTTGAAGATAGTTAAATAGAAATGTCATTACTTAGTGCAAGTTGCTTATTTTCTACCCCTTACTTCTCCTTTCATCTTTTTACTTTCTTGCCTATAGCTACCTAGAGTCCCATTGAATTAGTCATGACACTAAACGACTCAAGCTGTCGAGAGAAAATAGTGCATCTTTCCAATAGTGCTATACAGAATGGTTGGGATCACTCAAGTTAACCCCATTGTTTAAGAAAACATGATCATTTTACAGGATTTTAATCAGATTGCATATGTTTTGAAGCTCCATTTCATCTATGTCTAACATGTCATGAAGAAAAACTACAGTACTACATGTCTGTTGAACAGTTACTAAAACTTTATGCTAGTTAAGCAGTGATTGACTAAATAAGCCCTTTATTCACTGGATAAAATTTTACCGCTGGAAAAGTATTTATTTGAATGTTAGTTTACAGGAGAAGATGGCTACTATCTACAAAGAATCCCAGCCACAGCGTGTGACGTGGGAAAGTAGTATGCACTGCGCTGTTTACATACATGATTTGAAACAGTGGCAAAGAGGACAAATAACCAGGATTGTCTCCGAAACAAGTGCAGAGGTAAACCTCTTATCATTACAGGGTTCATACTTGTATTTCTTAAGTTTTTAAGCATTCATTGATTAAAGTAATGTAAAATATTTGCTTCTTACTTTTGTGTTAATATTTTCTCATACAACCTTTGCTTTTGTCAAGGGTTTAAGTTACATTGTACATAGCTGCAAATAAGATTACTGTCTCATCAAAGCTCAAATGCTTTTAGCAGGGAACCTGGTAGCTGAGGAAGGCTCATTAGGTTGACTTTGTGTATGTTTACACAACACTTTGCAACATAGCACAAATTTCCAAGCTGTAGCCTAAACAGTTTAGTTTAGATTCCAGAAGCTGTGTGAACCTGAGGGTCATGTTAATTCAAACTTAATGATACTTGCTAAAAGATGGAGCCAGTTGAACTGAGTGCAACACCACAGGAACACATGTAGTCATGCTGTTGCTTGAACCCTAAACTGGTGGTGATGCACTGTGCTATGTAGGTGTAGTATTTTCCACAGTAACTTCTCACACAGTGCTGCTTTAAACATGCGTTTTGTTGCACTCATTTGAAAAGAACAAGGTGCATCAGAAGAGGCATTTTGTGAATAGATAACTACTTAAAAGTAAGAGTGGCTTTTTAATCCAGGACTGGATTACCATGAATTCTCTCCACCATCATCAGGTTGTGAATCATAATATCATAGAATGGTTTGAGTTGGAAGGGACCTTAAAGGTCATCTAGTTCCAATCCCCCTGCCATGGGCAGGGACAACCCTCACTAGAAGCAGAAGTGGGACTTTTTATACTTCTGGTTTGCATTATCTGCTTTCTAAGGCTAAGAACCCTTGAACAGCTATTTAACCACGTCAGAATAAGCAGCAAGTGGTGAAGGGGAGCTATTTCAGCTTTTATAGATTTACAAATTTAAGTGCACCAACATAACTGAAAAAGGGGAAAAGAAATTGTCTTATTCAAGTATCAGCCTTTGTAAAGTTGTTTGACGCCCCCCCCCTCTTTGAGCACATTTGTGTGTTTTGTCTTCTCGGTATGCTGTGGTAGTCATCTGTGTTGCGTGACAGAGACACACATGTAGTGACTTCATTGCAAAGGCCATTTGTTGAATCCTGGTAATGTTCGTTTGAATTTTGTTTACCTATTCAGGCATGCTTTGAATTATCATTTGTTACAGACAATACTAAGAGAGGGTGTTTTAATGTTTCGTTGTGTTTCTTGTCTGTAACAGGTAATACTTTATGATTCTGGAGCTGAAAAAACAGTGGATATCAGCTGTCTAAGAAAACTTGAGGAAAACATGAAGATAATTAGGGCATTAGCAATAGAATGTTCCTTGACAGATATAAGGTAGCCTTTCCCTTATACTGAATAGTAGTATTAGAAAACTAATAATGACATAACTTAATATTTTCCTGTGTTAGCACTGATTATCTGAGATTTGGATGTGGTTTGCTTTTTGAATAAAGAAGAAATGGGATGCCACCTGTGATTTGTTTTATAAAGGGTTTTGTGGGGTTTTTTTCCTAAGGGTTATGCTACATACCAGTAAAGCAGAAACACTTGCTATAGAAAGAAAGAATATTTATAGGATGAATTATAAAATACTGCACAGGTGATAGAGGTTTTTCTTATTTCACTGAATACTTTTTTCCATGGCTCAGAATTTGAGATGAATCAAATGTCATGAAAATGTATAGGAGGTCTCTCTTTTCTAGACTGTAGAAAAGAGAGAGAACTGGGGTATTCCTCCATGTGTTTGTGTGCTGTCAGTACTGTGAAGAAAAAATAATCATGTTTGCAGCACCCATCCCCTTAATGAATATAAAAAGCCTAATTTGCAGGTTAAGTGTGGATTTTCTTTGTTCTGTTAAGAATGGTGTCACAATTCTGGAACTTGTGATCCTTCTCGTACCAAAGCTATAGTTATAGGGTTATAGTTTAGAATTCTTCCTGTCATGTAGATCCAGAGATGAATACCCATTTCTTTTTACGGTTGACTGTGATGGAGATTGTCTTTTTTCCCTGACAGTTCAGGCAGTTTCAAAAAAAAAAAAATCTAAATTTCAGTAAAGGGAAGGGTTTGTGGTTAAGTTCAGAAGATGCCAACTTCTCTTGTACTAAAGGAGATTAAAATCTATTCTATGTTAGACCAACAGGTGGAAGCACACAGTGGACAGCAACAGTGTGTGAATGTTTATCCTATTACCTAACCGGAGCACAAGTAAAAATAATCATACAGGTTTGTAATCAAAACCAGCGGTATTTGTAAAATTTCTGTCAGGTTGTCTGTTAATTTAATTTTTTTCTGAATATTTTCACTCTTCAAAATGTCCTAAGTGGAACTTGCTTAGGTTGTTCTTTCCTGTAGGGGAAAAGATACTTTTTCTTTTTTCTGCTTTACTTTTGTTATTCACTGGAGCATTGGAGCAATTTGGCCACCCAGTGTGGTAAGAACACAGTCTTAGATATATTTAGTTACTGAAGAATAATATGTACGTCTTTGGGATCGCTGGATGCTGACAACTTTCATGGTCAGATGAGCAAGATGATCATGTTCTTGATGAGAATGGTTTCAGGAGCTACTATATTAGTTTTCAAGCCTCAGAAACTGAAAGAACAAGTCCGATGCTGTACAAACATCATTAGTAATTGATATCTTCTACTGGTAAAACAAACAGAATTCTTATGAGGGTTTGATTTGTTTAGTGTCTGTTGGCAGCTGCCAGTGAGGTTTTACAGTATGTCTGGAAATAAAAGCACTGATGAGCAAAGTTAGTTATGAGTGGATTTCAAGCTCCTGCTGGAGGAAAACAAGTGTGTGGCAGTTCATTCTAATAAAACAGCTAAGGGAAGAAGTAAGGTTTTATTCTGTTACTTTTTTTTAATGTCATGTTTAGAACACTTGGTAAAACGATAGGAACTGTGACATGGATTACATAAATATTGGTTTCTTCTGATGTGGGCATCAGTTGTTCAACGATGTCCGATTTGCAGTCAGTACCAGTAAAATGAAAAATATGCCTGTAGTTCAGAAGAAATGCATATTGTAATATGTTGTCCAGCTCTCTCATTTTTTCCAGGAAAGTGATGTGGCTTGTGCATTGCCTGTGAAAATTCTTTGCAAAGACGAAACAGGACAATTGATTGATATTTCAGAACACCTTATTAAAAAGGGTTTGGCTTTTAGAAACAGAAGGTTTGGATACTTTTATATTTTTTTTAGACTCTCATATTCACATTGTGATAAGCTAATAAGTAAAACAAAAATTAGGATTATCCTTTATAGAATATGTAGCAACAGCACTCCATCTTTACTGAACTTACTTGAGTATAACATTATTAATTATATCCATTGCATGTTTCAGTTGTCTAAGTTGGTAGTTGAGATGTTTGACAGTATTTTAATAAGCATTTGCCATCTTTATGTGTTTGATTTTTTTACTTCTGTTATTTTATTCTTTTGCACTTTCCAAGTTCTTTATCAGTTAATATGTTGATATGATTTGATTGAATCTGCTAGAACTAATACAGCTGGTGTGGCTTGCTCAGTCTCCAAGGAACGTCTTAAAGTACATTTAGAGCAAGAGAACACACAACTGGATGGTTGTAATTCCAAAACTGCATGCTCAAGAAACAGCGCTGCTCCAGAGGAAAACATCACTGTTTCTGAGAGTGGAGAAAAATCATGCAAAACATCTAAGTCACTGCTTCAGTCAGGAGTGGATGAAATATATAAATCCCCCGTTATACCTGAAGTTAAACATTTTCAAGCTGTAGTAAGTTCCATTGGACGTGATGGAACTATTTATATAATACCAAAATCATTTGGTAAGATTACATAGAAGCAAATACATTTATGTCTATGAAACTGATAGCTCTGGTATATCAGAATATACCAGATATGTGTTCTGTATCAGAACACAGTTCTAGAAGATTCCTGTTGGGGAGGATTGCTGCTGGGATGTGATGAGGCCTGTGGCGTGGGGGGCGAGGGGTTGCCAGCCCGTGCACCCCTTTCTCTGCGGTAGTGGGGAGAGGTCCTGCGGCTTCCTGGCAGCGGAAACCCAAACCCCCAGGAGGTGGCACCCTATACTTAAACCATCAAAATCGGCTCTCCTGTCCTTCCACCCTCCCAAGAAATCAAAAAAACCCAAGCGCTTGAACAGGCATGTTACTTGCCTCTCTTCTCTAGGCAGTATTGGGTAAAGCAGCAAGTGCTTTATTTTATAGTGTTGAGATTGTGATACATTTTACTAATAATAATGAAGGTACAGTCCTAAAGATGGTTGGAAGTTAGCCAGGTTCTCAAATATTACTGGATTTTTTTCCTTCAGTGTGAGCTCAGTACCCAGTTTCCTTTGGCTCTTTATTTGTACTTTGATAGATTCAGTATCTCTTAATAGTTTCTGTTTGTACTGTTCAAAAGAAGTACATTTTCATCTAACAGATGCAGTGTCGGTCTTCAGTACCATGATAATATATTGTGCTGTAGAGAAATGTTTGCATGTGAGAACACTAATTTTATTTTTTACTCTACAAGTACATTTAACTATTCGATCATATCATAAAACTCTGAAATTCAAAGTACAGTAATTCCACTTGTTCAAGACTGTATTCTCCTTGCAGATGTGGCTATAGACTGTATGCATAGCAGAAGAGGGTCTTCTGGGCACGAGTTTTGTGTTACTTCATGGTGTCCTACCACTGTCTCTGGGAATCTGTTGTCTTGTTCATGGAGAGGCTTTTATATTAGTGCTGCCAAGGTGTCAGTTGCAAAATTTGTAGACCCGTCTTCTCTGAGATTAGAATCCAGAGTTACTAATGGCTTCACAATTGGAAATGCAGTTACTTTTTGTTTAAGTAGTAACTTGTTTGCATGTACCAGAAGTTGAACATACATATTCTGTCAGTGTTGGAAAACATTTTTTGGAACAGCACATGTATTTGATGCTTACACGGGTTATAGTTATTAAAATAATTTGTGCTAATCTATAACAGACTATTTTGAATTTTTTTTTTATTCTCCCTCTAGAAATTGAACTAAACAAGCTGATGGCTGAAATACAAAGTAAATTCCAGTGCCTTGGTCTTCTGGAACCCTACAGCTGGAAAAAGGGTGAAGCTTGTGTTGTAAGAGGATCAGATACCATGTGGTATCGAGGTAAAGTTGTAGAACTCGGTGGCAGTACTCTCCAGGTAGGTTTGATTATATGTTTTGTGTGTGTGTGCATGAACATGTGCACATGTATGTAAAAAAATAAAAAAAGGGGGGGGGGGGGAATAATCTAATCCTCTAAAATAAACTTACGATCACACCTTTTTTCATTCAGCTGACCTGACTATCCAGATGCTCATTCTGCTTGAAAGTGTGATAACTGTTCTGATTTTTACCTTTATTTTAAAGATGAATTCTATCTGCCCATTTCAGTTGTTACAATTTTTCCCATAGTTTTCCTGGTGATGATAAATGTTCTTAAGTAAAAAACTACTCTTGGTCACCTGTATGTAATCCCTTTTAGGTTTTTTCTCTTTTTTTGTTGTTGTTATTGTACGTGGAATACTTTGAAAATACTTAGGGCGGGGGGAAGCTAAGCCTATCCCTACCCAAAAAGTAGTGGCTGTCTGGCTTGAATTCTTTCTACTGCACAGGTATAGAGCTACTTTTTCTAATTAACAGTTAATCTTCTCTAAACTCTTGAGTCTGCTCATGCTTTTTGAATGTAGATTTGCAAGTCTCGCACTATCCTAGTTCACAAATTTTATATTTCTTTAAATTTTAAACTGGTGTAGGTTATTATGCAAAAGGTAGGATCTCTTGCAAGACAAGTTTAGAAACTGACCTTCTAATCTGCCATACCAGTTTTTTAATCCTTTCCTTCATTTACACTTCGTCACATCACCTACTTATCAACAAACCTTTTTTTTTTTTTTTCTTCCCTCCAGAAAAGTGAATGCTGTAAATGAATGCTTTCTCTTATTACACTTGACTTAAAAACCAGGAATTATTTCAGGAAAGCTTTTCTTTTCATATAGGTACAGTACATAGACCATGGTTGCATAGAGCAGATTCCTCCGTGTCATCTGTATCCAACTACGTTGTATTCTGGTATTCCTCCATATTGCATACCGTGTCAGCTCTACAAGACAGTACCAGTGAGTAATGGTAAATGTGAAGACATTTTAGTAGGTAGTTACTCAATTTGATACACTGTTTAGTCATACAAAGGTTGAGACTAGTTGCTGGTATTTTATCTTGCCTACGAGGATACCGAGAATAGCTGATGAGGATTGTTTAGCAAGGCAGCTTTTTATCAGGAAATGCCAGATTGCTTTATGAAGTGACCATGCTTCAAAAGCAGCTGTCATTGGAATTAAATCTTTGTGAGACAGGACACAGCAGTAGTTGGCAGGATACTCTGAAGTGGTAGTTCATTTTGTAATAGCAACAACAAGAAGTAAGGCCTGGATTTCTTAATGCAAAATGGCCAGAAAATTGTAAATCCCCAAGTCCTGCAAAAGTATTTATATCATTCTGAACATAGCTGTGTAGGAAGCAATCTGTTATGCTAAACTAATACAAGTGAATTGTTTTAGGGGGGTTTCGTTAGTAAATAATTGATATGTAAATAACATCTTCACATATCATCACATCTTATTGAAATTTGGTGCATTTAGTAAATGTGAATTACTGAAATCATGAACTTACTTTTAAACTTACTTTGAAATAAAACGTTTTCATTGCTGGAAGCAGTTCAGCTGATAGATTGCGAAAAGCTTATAAGCCTGCGGGTTGGGAGCAAATGGATATTGCAGGGAATAAGAGAAGTATTTAAAGTATCCTGTGTTTCTGTTGTCTTTTAATTTTTTTCAGGTGTGATTCTGTATCTTTGGGTTATTCTTCGGGTAACTGTGCATACATACGTTATTATGTATATAGTAAAGGTCACACTTGACAAACAGCATCTCTTTCTAAGCCACTTCAAGATCTGAAAATTGCTGATCAGCTTTGTCGCACATTAAGTTTTAGTGTACCAAGTAGCAGATAATGTTTAAACAGTTGTAGACAAATCAAACGAATGATGTGTGTTTTCAAATAAGTTTCTTAATGGTAGGCATATATTTTCATCATACTATGTTAAGAATAGTAAGAGTATTACTTGTCGGCACCTTAATATGAGAGAGTTTCTTGCTTTTCACCAAATAGATTGGAACTTCATGGCAGCAGGATGCAGTAGATTGCCTTCAAGAACTCCTTACAAATGAAGAGGTTGAAATACATGTTAAGGTAGCTTAATTTATTCATGGATGTGGAATGAAGCTTACCTTTTGTTCTCTTCTGGTTTTGGGGTTTTTTTTTGTTTTAATTTGCATGAAAAATAATAGGTGAAGGAGTATAGCAGTAAACGTATTTCTTAGACAAAACAAAATCCAAAGCTAAAATATTTCTCCTATGACTTTATCATAGTTTTCAGGTCTTAAATGTTTCCTTTAGAGGTATTAATTTTTTTTTTTCCTGTTTGTATTCTGTGTTCCATTCTGACAAGAAACCTACCTACCAACAGTGTAAGTTCTTCTAAATTGAATTTTACATTATGAAAATTTGGTGTAATTAAGTATGGACATGCTTAAATTAATGTATTAACATTATAGGGAAACATATAATCTGTATTGTCTGAAAAACTGCAGTTTCAGATAGTTTAATTTCTAATGATAAATTGTGAAAAAGAAGGGTATGTTGTTGAGTGATCAAACATGGGATAATGTTTTGGTGTTAGACTGAGTAGTGGGTGCTGCCATTCCAGAGGTATATTCCTATTTGTGTCACAACTGATGTTAATAGCCACCCTTACTGGTTTTGTATCTTTGATGAATGAGTATGGTGCATGTAGTAATGACAGGTTTGAATTTCATGTCAACTATTTCTAAAACCTCTGTCACACTATTACTGTTATAATCTTATTCGGTCTTGTATAAATAGGAATTACCAGATAATCCATGGGGCAAGTTGTCCATCAACCTGTATTTTGGTGGAATGTCACTTTCTTCCTTTATGGCATACCAGAAGTACTGTGTTACTGAAGATTGTCAGGACACACCAGAGCTGGTGAGATTTTTTTTTTAATGTGTGTCTTTTGCTGTTGTTATTCTCACATTAAAAAGATTACTCAGTTGCTTGTTGTGACCTTTGATGATTTGTTATTTCTTTTTATATTTCTGTACAGTTTTGTGATGTAAACAGCAGTAAGGCTAAGTACACAGCTCTGTAGCGTAAGTGTACATATGATGTGTTGACAATATTTTATGGAATAGCAAACTGCCAAGAGTTTGTTCTTGGACCTGTTACTGAAAAGAGGTTCTTGTATTTCTATTTAGAGTCCAATTAGGTTTTGTGTTCCTCTAAAAATTATAGGAATAGAGTAAAATTTTTGTCGCTTGAAGGGATTAGGTAATCATACAAATATATCCAAGGAAGGAGGTATTCAAAAGTAGATTTCATCAAGTATTTCAACATAAACCTAGTGATTTCTAAGGGAGTTACCTAGGTTCTTCATTCCAAGTGTCTGGGATATTCATCTGGTGTTCTTCAGAGGACAATTGAAATTTTCACCTAACTTCATTATCTTAACACAAAAAAAATTAGATAAGTAATTTCTCTTCTTTTTTTTTCCCCTTGAAATCTGAGGATCAGGTTTCTTGAAATTACTAAGGCTTTGTTGTTGCATTTGTCTCTTTAATTCTGTTTAAGCCTGCCAATGTTTTTTTCCTTCCAACATGATTCTCTGCTTCAGAAAATAATTTTACAATACAGAGTATGCTGCTGTCACTGCTGATGTAAGTCTTGGCATGCATACCAGTGGACTTGTGATGCAGTTACAAAGATCTCTGAGTGTATGTTAGAACTGAGTAACCATGGAAAACCTAATTGTAAATCAGTCTCTTGTTGCATTTTCATAAAGTCAGCACATGACACACAGCTTCCAGTAAACTAAATAAGGATCTCAAAATGAGATTTTACTCTTAAAACAAAAATGAAATTTGGAAAATAAAAATAAAGCTGTGTGAGAAGGTTGTAAGCAACAAGCATTCAGAAGCCTGGAATGCTTTCAGCAAGGAATATAGCATTAAGCAGATCCATTCCAGGAGTAAGTGGTTCAGAACAATTTATAAGAAAATGAGTATTGGAGGTATTCAGTTGTGGGTGAGGAAAGGAGCTGGTTGCAGGAGCAGAACCCCTGGCATAGCATAAGTACGAAGTGTGCATCCCTGAGAGCATTGAAACATAGTCAGCTCTGGGTTTAGCTGTAGGAGGCTAAGCAGCTGTCCTCACAAGCCAATTGGTACACTGCATTGACTAAAGTATACTATTATTATATAACGTATAGCCGTTATATATTTTATTATCTTACAGTTTTGTAACTGTATTTCATTGCTTCAAATCTGTGTTTTCAGGTAAGTAAACTGCTAAGGACTGTATTCTGTTTCTGTGAGTGTTGTAATTCTGCTAATAGTGATAATAAGCTGCTTATGCAGAGCCCACTACATCTGTGTTTTGCTGCAGAGTATATTACTGTCTTTGAGATACACTTTTGTTGAGCTGCACACGTGAGGTTAGGAGCTGGTCTTCGTCACCATATGACAATCCTAGCTTAGTCATTAGCCAGAAAGTTCCCTACTAGGCTGTAGGATATTGGAGACTACGCCAGAACACCAGGCATGGTGAGCTTACAGCAGTGAATCTCATTCTATGTGTATGTGTACGTAGAATCCTAGAATGGTTTGGGTTGGAAAGGACCTTAAAGATCATCTGGTATCAACCCTCCTGCCGTGGACAAGGACACCCTCCACTAGACCAGGTTGCCCAAAGCCCCATCCGACCTGGCATAGAAAAACTCGTCACTGAAAACTTGTTTTTATTTTA